TAATAATAATAATAATAATAATGAAGATCATTTCTATAGCGCCCACTCCCGTGTAAACAAAGCTCTAGGCGCTTATACATGAAAACATATACAGACGCACAGACACACACACTTAAACTCACACAAACACACACGTACACACAAACACACACAAACATACGCACACACACACATATAGATATGCACTCACACGCCAGGTATTCATTAGATAGATAGATAGATAGATAGATAGATAGATAGATAGATAGATAGATAGATAGATAGATAGATAGATAGATTGATTGATTGGTAGAAACACGCAAACATTACACACACTCACACACAAACACACACACACACACACACACACACACACACACACACACACACACACACACTTACACAAACACACACACACACTTACAAATACCATATACAATGAAAAACACAAACACCCCAAACAAACACACGCACACGAACGCTCACACACAAACATGGGCTTAACTCTCCTGAGAGGATGTTTAATTATGTTGATAACTTCTAGACCCGAGTGCCTCTGAAGAGAGATACAAGTTGCCTTTGAAATACGTTTAAGAAATAAAAGTCATTCAAGGTTTTTTTCCCCTCGCTATAAAGTCTATAAGCCGTCGGAAAAGCGTGCCAAAGTGCCACCAGATACCTGAGGAATCGAAAAGATAATGGACAGAAATGAAAAGGAGAACTAGATCTAGTCTGTTTTGAAATTTGTATTTAAAATCCAAACACATACGTTGACAGAGAAAGAGAAAAACGCGCGCGCACACACACACACACACACACACACACACACACACACACACACACACACACACACACACAAACACACACATGCAAACACACGCTCACGCACGTACGCGCACACACACACACACACACACACACACACACACACACACACATACACACACACGCATACACACATTCAAACACGGGTATGTGCATACACAGATTATATACAAACATTATTTGTACCGTGGCGTCGGTAGACGGGTGTTATGGCTACCCACCAAGACTCGTAATCGTAAAGTTGTAGGTTCGGGGCTTAAGCCTTTTTACAGATCCAACGTTGTGTCCTTGGGAACGGCACTTTACACGAATGTTCCTCCCTTCACCCATATTGGAATGGGTACCTGGCCATAGACAGCGAAAGATCCTGTCATTAATGCCGTAGCGCCTATAAAATGGCACTTTCAGGGTATGCTTCCCAGGAAGCTGATATTGTTTCAGGTTTGCTGGGGTAGAAATATAGATTGTAAAACGCGGAGAGCTTCATGCTGAGCGAGAATTGGCGTTATACAAATGCTATCTATAAAAATATGTATTGATAAAAAGTAAGGTAGACCGGCGAAAAGTATTAAAAAACAACAATTCTTAAAGTGGAGATTCTTTTCGGGAGTTTCCGTGGATCACCAGTAATTTGATTCGGCTTATCCAGATATATGGATGTTTAACTAGTTGTCCTACCTGTTGTAAACACACACGACGAACATTGCAGCGAGAAAACACGTTTTAGCGGCCCATGATACATGCATTTATTGCTGGTGAAGTGACAGCATTCTCCCATAATACTCTGAAGGTGTGTTCCCCAGAGTGGAATTCAAACTTTATTTCTCCTTCTCGAAATGATCAATTAGAAGCCGGAAGTACGTTATTATTTTACTGCCAATGTTCTTTTATTTACCTCTAACCCTAACCCTTTTCCTCTTTTCTTTTAGTTTTAGAGCGATCACAGAACCAAGTCCCCCCCCCCCCCACACACACACACTTTTTCTTGTAACAGGGACATGCTATTTCAGCTTCTTTTTCTTTATTATTCCTTACATACAAAACATTTGCGTGTTGACGGTTACTCTGAAGAGGTTCATATCTTCTTTCTCATCAACATCTATCCTCCGTTTCTCTCCTCCTTCTTTTCTTTGTATGTTATTCTCCAGTAACACTTATTCTAATCTTCTGCACATATAAGTATGAATTTATTGTGCTTCGAGTGCCGAAAAACTCTTGTTTAAACTAAATCAATACAAAACAAACTTAAGAAATACCTTACAAACATTATTATTGATTTGATTTATTTCAGGCTGGTTCCAGTAACACGAATTCGGCGAAGACAAAGACTAAGACGCCGCCAGTATGACGTCACTTGGTTCATGGTATGGACTACGCATCTAGGAGTATGCTAGAGTGGTCTCTCTCTCAAAGTCAAAGACTCCAGAGTTTAAGAGGATTTGCCTAAGGGTCATATTAGTCACTATTTCTTGACTCTTCTGGTGACAACTTCTTGACTTGAGGCTGGATGGGGGTAATAGTATTCTGTTGTCAGTGATTAGCCGTTCGTGGCTGATGGTTGGATCTAACGCACATTGAATTGGCGTACCTCTTAGGAGCACCAACGTTCTCACGAATAAATCTGCTTATAATATACCTTCTACTCAATACTAACATGAACATCTTTGTAGACCTCAAGTCCCAGAATGTGTGTTACTGCCAGCAAAGAAGTGTCTAAATTTTATTTGATGGGAATATTCCCGGGAACAAAGAGCCTCGCCATCGCAATCTGGGTGTGAAACCAATTTTATTTTCTTTTTGGAACTATAATCATGTAATCCAAAGAGTTTTTAAGCAACGCTTTTTAAGCAAATTCAGACTGGGGTTATAAGTCCCCTATCTTAATAATTGGGGTGGGCCCCAGGCCGGATAAGAACCTTCACCTTTCTGCAAAAAAAGGGGGGTGGTGCTCCCCCATTCTCCCCTCCTTTTTTTTTTT